AAAATAGACAATTCAATAAATAAAATTGTGGGCATAAGATAAATAAATTAAAATGTTTAATGTGAATGATTCAAATAAAAAAATGTAAAAATAAATTTGATAAAGTACAAATGAAAATATAGCCTTTTTAAACTTTTTGCAACCAGAAGCTGCTCTTCATATTAGTGACAAACAGTAACAGTTACAACAGCTTTTTGACAAGTTTAAACTTTCATTAAAATACATTCAAAATGTTTTAAAATAAACTACAAAAATTAATTTAAAGTGCAAATTAAAATATAGTTCTGCAACTGTAGGCTATTTGATAATATTTTGAACTTTTAAAATATTGCATGGTAAAAACAGAAGCTGCTCTTTATATTAGTGACAAACTTTGGTGTTTTTTGATGAGTTACTTTCATTTTTGTTTCTACTTTTCATTTAAAATAAGTTTCCATTCTCGGCAGGTTTCTAAAGTTCTTCTACATACTGTATTAAAATAGTTGTTAAACACCTGAGTGGTGCACTACTGCTACTAGTGGTGAGAAAGTGTATTACACCTTATTCAAAATCAATGCAGTCCCACGGCCCTCGGCGGCCCAAAGTTAAAAACTGTTGTTCTTTTGAGGCCCTCAAGGTGGTGCTTGCGGCCCACAGGTGAAGAATCTCTGGTCTGGAAGGTTTTATTTGTTTGTGTGGATTTGTCATGTTCCGGATGAATCTACACTAGCATATTACTTTGTGTTTTCCATGAATTATCTTGAAAGTGAAAGATGTAACAAGCTATGTCGAGTACACTCAGAAGATTTTCCACTAAGCTTTAAACTGTGTGTGTGATGCACCTCTTCACCACCACCGTGTCAGCATTAGCATTACCTACTTTATGTGCAAATGACAACTTTGTAATATCACGCAATAAAGAAAAAACATCGGTCAACAACCAGTGTTCAAGAATAGCAAAGACTCCATGACTATTTTTAACAAAACAGTGACTTAACCCCTTAGAATACGTTGGCAGAAAAATATTAATGAGGAAGAAACACAGAAGAAGGTCAGAATAGAAGGGTAACCTAATTTCACCTAATTTCCCTCTGGGATCAATAAAGTATTTTTGAATTGAATTGAATTGAAAATGTTTCAAAGTGCTTCTGTGGCCGCAGGGCCCTAAGCAGCTACTTAGTTTGCTTGTGCCTTGGGCTCTGTGCAAAGCCTGCAGCACTCATTTACAGTCATCTCGTTCTGCTCAGTATTCTCTAACTTCACATTTACCAGACATACAAAGCATAACTTCACATTTACCAGACATACAAAGCATAACTTCACATTCACTTGAGGTACGAACTGTCTGTCTTTACACCTGACTGAGGCACAAACCATGACTTCACACCTACCTTAGATATATGGTTTCGGCTTTGCATGGTAGAGTTGCAGTTGTTCACAAAGTGGTGAAGCTTGCTCCATCCTTGCTTGTGAATGACTGAGCGTTTCAGGGATGCTCCCTTTCCACCCAACTGTAACACAGGCTTCTTTCCAATGAACCTGTTCACCTGTGGAATGCTCCAAACGTGTTATTTTGAACATTCATCAACGTTCCCAGTCGTTTGTTGTTCCTGGCCTTTTTTTTTTTTTTTTTTTTGGAACATGTTGCAGGCGTCAAATTCAAAATGAGTGAATATTTGCAAAAAAAAAAACACAAAAAAAAACAATGTTTAAATTAAATAAGTGAACATTAATTATCTTGTCTTTGTAGTTTGTTCAATTGAATATGGGTTTAAAATGATTTGCAAATCATCATATTCTGTTTTTATTTATGTTTTATACAATGGCCCAACTTCATTGGAATTGGTGTTGTACAAAGCCTCATTTAAAAATATCTGAACTATCATTGTTTGCTTGTTCTGTATCCACTAAGAATTCATGTTTTCACACTCACTTCAAAACACTCAGTCGACCCCACTTCACCACAGACACCAGGTTTTTCTTTATTATGATGTCCATTTGTCATTTTATGCAGGTGTTTTATCCCAAAGAGATGTTCAACCAACCATACATCCTCAACCTATTGTGTGAACAGGTCAGTATGTTTACTCTAATAAACTAGTTTCATTATATATATATTAATGAAATAAGCATTTAGCTTGTGGATTTAGACATTTTATGTTGTCATTTTAGATCATGAGAGACACGTACACTGATACCTGTTATAGGATCAGCAGAGAGGAGAGAAGGAAGATGAAGGACCTCCTTGGTGAGATTTTTTTATACAGCCATATAGAGCAGTGTTTTCTCTTTTGATTGGGTTTATATCAATGACAACTCACTATACTATTTTTATTGTTTTTATAGTAAATTTTAAAGTTGGATCAACAATAAGCACCATCCAAGATGACAACATAAAGAGGAGGATTGTCATTGCTGCTCGAGACAACTGGGAACATTACTTTGCTCGACTGTTTACTGTAATGGTGAGTACAAATCTCAGAAGTGCACAGAAATTTAAAGGCCAATATTATGTGTTTCTCATGCATATATTTAAATACTATACCATAATAAAGTATCTATGTCACCTTTAGTTGTTATTAAAATCCTGTTTTTATGTTTAAATAGAAAATAAACTTATCTTCTCATCACTTCCTCTTCTAAACGCCTTGAAATTGGCCTCTGTCTCTTTAAGAACCTCCTTCTGCTTCTGTTCTGTCCCGTTCGGGTGGGGGGGGTTGTGCGTGCGCTGTGATGCAGTTTACTTGGCATCTAAATATACTTTTCCTCAAAGGTATTTTTAATCTGAAAAGAGCTTCACTGAGTGAGAAGTAGTGTTAAGAGCAGCAGACAGTAAGTTTCACTTTCAGTTTAGAGCCTGCAGGAGTCATGGGCAGGTGTGTGAGGAGGGGGTGCGCTCTGCCATGAGGAAGTTCGGCTTAAAGAGGTGTTTCTGGTACCAAAAGGTGTTTCTGGTCCCAAAAGGTGTTTCTGGTCCCCACCTGTCGTTTTGCTCCTCAGCATGGCTTCCTAAAAACACTGCAGGATTTCTCAAACATGCATGAATGAGTCAGAGCAAGACTTCGGACATGTTTTTTATGAGAGTATAACATTACTGTATAACATGATATAAAACTCAAAAAGTTGTTTTTACATGATGTTGCCCCTTTAAAGAATATTAACTGACCAAAGTGCTGCAAAAGTATAACATATAAAAGTATTATTAGGTAAGTCAGTAGAGGTGTGATGAGTTCTTGGAAGGTCAACATGTCATAAAATTTGTTGTTGAGTTAAAAACTGTCTCGAATTGAAAACAACAAAAACTCTGACTCGTGCTCCTGCAGCCCACAGGTCTGCAGGTACAAGCTGAGAAGTGCACACCTGTTTTAAAACACAACTGACTTGGTGCTGAATTCACATGATTTGTCAATGCTGAGAGAGGATGATTAGACTGTGATTAGACGTCTTGTCATTTCTGGATGAATCTGAGCATTTTTGCATGTTTTTGATTGCACATGTTTCAATATTTTCCTTCAAATACAGCTTGTAGCTGTTTCACAGGAAGCTTTAGGGACAGAAAAATGTTATGATTTAGTTTATATTTCTACTCTCTAATTAGGTTATGATCAAAGGTTTAAATTCTTCCAGAATTATTAATTTTTATTTTATTGTATATAGAAGTTAGTTTTTTTTAAAACAAAATGAACTTTTAAAAAAAAAAATATTTTTTTACAGAGGAAAGTTGAGCTCCAGACAGACTGTAGATGGAACCTCTTCAGCTGATCGTCCATCACAGCATTTTTAGTGAAAAATTAACAGTCATTCTGATTCACAATGAAAAGTAAAACAAACTTTAAACCGGCACTGTTATGGAACACCTCAATATGCTCCTGGGTCTGCTCCCTCTCTGTAGCAGACAAAGTTTGTTCTTCTTCATCACCACCATCATCATCATCATCATCATCAGCTGTGATTTCCAGAATCTTCTCTGTGAGGTCAGACACTTTATCAGCAAAACTCAGAACTTTGACTTTTTTCTTGTTCCAGAAGCCTCTGATCTCATTCACCATTTTATCTGTGATGATCAGCATTTCTTGATTCTTGAAAGTCTCTTTTTGGTCTTGCTTTGGCTTTGGGCTGGATCTGGATCTGGTCTCAGATCCCTCTGAGATCAGATAGTGAACTTTGTTCAGACTCAGTTTCTTCCAGTGGTGTGAATCTGTTTCGAAGAAACACTGCTTCATTTCTCTGGCTGTTATCAGCTGTTTTGATTACAGCCTGTTGCTTTCTTCTCCTTGCTGGAGGAGAGAAAACATTTCTCTGTAATTCTGGCCATTCGATGTCATCTAAGAACTGAATACTTCCTGAGAGATTTTTTGGTCTGGCACCAATAGAGTTCCATACAGTTTTACACTCAGAAGCAGCTTCCATCTCCTCTCCATGTTGATCTCTCCTCTCAGCCTTCTCACCCATTTTAACACATGTTGAGTTCTCCAAAGCATTCATCTTCTCCAGACGATGAATCTTGAGCTCCAACACCGTCACCTTTTGGAGAAGCTGGCAGAAATCCTCTTTGGAATAGTAAGGAGGCATCTTGAAGCTTTTCTGTACTCACTCTCAGCAGATGATGTTTCAAAAATCTTCTCAGGTTCTTCAACAGCCAAAAATAAAATTTARTGTTCTTTTTTTATTCAAGATCATCCATCACAATCATCACCAGCATATCTCTGTTGTTAAAACAATTTACCATAAAAAGGTTCTTTTCATCCAGCTGGAGTCACGGTCCTGAGCAGTCCAGTCCTTGCTCACTCATATCAGTCCACCTGCAATGTGGCCTTGGTCCGTCGATCTAGTGGTCTCTGCCGACAACACCAACTGTTATGGCAATATTTATTTAACAAAGACAGAAATACGTGGTCCAAGAATGAAGGTACTCCGTGAGATGATCAGCTGAGTTTTATTGCAACAACAGGAAACAGAGACCAACCTGGCCTGTCTCTGTGCCTCTGCTTCTCTCTGTCACTGTCTCTCCACACAACTCACTGTGTCTCCAGAGGCCTCATA